GCATGCGGCGGTCTGGATCGCCGTTGGGCGTCACGAGCCACGGCGAGGGCTGCAGCAGGTAGTGATCCTCAATCCGCTCGGCTCCCACGCCGGGCTCAATGGCTCCCCAACCGGGTAGGAAGACCTCCATGTCGAACTTGACCTTGATGAAGAAGCCCAGCTGCATGCGCAGGTGGGCATCGAGGTGCGTTCTCAAGGCGTAGAGCGACGTCACGGTCAGCAGCTGCTCGGGCGGCGGGTCCAGGGCGTACTGCCGGAGCCACCAGGAGGACTCGGCCCTGTTGAGGCCCGTCTCGCGCACTCTGACGCCGGCCACGGCGCCGAGAAGAAGAGCGGCCATGTTCACAACTCTAGAAAATAATCTTTCCTATGCGTGACATCAAAAGTCCCCGACGATGAACGCACCTCGACTGATCGTGCTTAGAGCTTCTCCTACCGCTCTGTCTGAGGATTGCATGGTCGACTGCTGTGCGGCACGTCATGCAATTCGGACCAACGCAGCCGACGCGGGCACCCCCCCTTAACTCGCGACCATGCTTCTCTTCGCAGCTGATGGTGCCTAAGGGTTTGCTCCGTAGAGCTGATGGTGCCTAAGGGTTTGCTCCGCAGAGCTGATGGTGCCTAAAGGCTTGCTCAGCAGAACTGATGGCGCCGAAGGCTTGCTCCGCTGAGCCGAGGGTTTAGGGTTTAGGGTTTGGTGCCGGAGGGTTTGCTCCGCGGAGCCGTCGGGCACACATTCAGAGCTGATGGCGCCCAAACGGGCTTGCACCGCAGAGCTGATGCTGCCAAAAAGGTTTGCTCCGGAGAGCCGTCGCGCAATGCTCCGGTGATTGGGACCACTTAGTTGACCACTTGATAGCCCCCTTGAGGGGCAGCCAGATTCCCGAGCAATCCGGCCAGCGTGATGCACCTGCGATGCACTCCTACTCGCGGGCCCTTAGGCCGCAATGCTGCTCCGCAGAGCTGATCCGGTGTGGGGTTCTAGGCTTGGCCCCTCGCCATCAAACAACTCCGAGGCAATTCCGAGGAGCCTGCAGCGACGAAGCTTCAGAAGATGCGGACCTCTGGAGCAGGTCTAGGTTACGGGCACAGGGGCTGCTCGGGTACCCCATGGTCGGGCGAACGTGCTGGGACAGCAGTGCAAGACCCTCCTAAGCAGTGCGGCAAAAACAACCCAACCCCAAAGCATCCCAAAGTCCAAAAAGAAGGCAGCAGCGAGACCTGCGGGGTTTGGAGGGGTGTCACAGGCCACCCAGCTGCAAAACACACGCTGAAAGAGGAACGCGCCTAGAAGGCTCTAAAACCTCGGGTTGCCTTGGAAGCTTTAAAGGGTTCGGGAATCCCAGCTTTGGGGCTACAAGAGAACATCAGCAGCTGGCACAAACATAAAGACCCTGCACACGCAGCCGAGCATCACGACGCGAAGAGCGGGCGAC